TTACTTCACTATGCCTTATAACAGAGCAACGCATCAACGTGAAGTCATCACTTTACACTGGATTCACAGACTTTGAAAAAGCCTTAGACATCATTGATTGAGAATCTTTCTGGAAACTGACAAGACACTAAGGGACCCCCCCCCCCCCCCCCCCCCCCCCCCCCCCCCCCCCCCCCCTTTCCTCTTTACAAAAAAAAAATGAAATTAGTAGGTAAAGAAGTGAATTGTTGAGCTCTTCATGAGGAGAAAATTTGAAATATCAACACGTGGCCGACAGGGATGTGAGTGTCTGTAGTTTATGACGGCTCATCTTGTCGCTCCAGGACCCTTAGCTTGTTTAAGTAAACAATATCAGAACTGTAGTTCATCATCTCCATCAGACGATAACAGTCTGCGAAGATTTCACAATTAACACTTTGAATCCCCGTTGAGCTGATCATAAGAGGAGGATGTCTGCAATTCATCACTGTGTGAGTTTTTTTTATTACATTTCTCTTTGATACTGGCGTCCCAATCCTGTTCAATAACTAATTTAACTATCACATATTGATGACTAAGTCCAAGTACTTTTGAGAAAAAAAAAAAAGAAAAAAAAAAAGCTCGTCTACTTTCAGACTGCTGCTAGCTAGCCAAGGCTGCTAGCAGTCTCCGATTATATTCGTGGTCTGGGTTTTTTGCGTCACTTTCGTCACTGAATTCTAGTGTTTGCGCCATTTCTGGGCTTGACGCTGTCATCCGAATCAGACCGCTCGTTCTCCACCCTGTTGTTACTTGTGCATGTCTTCCCTCGTCTTACTTGGTGTTTCCAGTTTGTTCTGTCTCCCTTTGATTTGGCCAGTCGTATTTCGTAAGGGGGAGGGGGGGAATTGGGGGGGGGGGGGGGGGTGCGCTTATCCACACAACGTTCCCTGGACCACCTGGACCACCTGGCCACTGTAATCTCTGAGTAATTCTTATTCTTAGTATTAACTAGCTGTAAACTCCGGGGCAAGTTTTTTGTTTGTTTTTCCACTTTTGGACCTAATTCTTGTTCCAGGACCTCATGTTTGGGTGCACATCTGGTGTTTTGTGTGCATGCGGGTAGTTGGATCCTTGCCTGTAGGGCAGATGCTCTCCGACTTCGAAAGATTATCCCCTAATTAGTGATCTTTTACGGCATGCTTGTTGGAGATGAGATGGGGGAGCAGCTGTCCTTTCCTTATTAACCGAAATATAGGGCCTGCGAACAGACACGTAAAACGCAGAGTTTGCACTCACACTATATGGTTTTGCTGAATCTGACCCGTGTAGGGACGCTAAAAAAAGAATGCACAGTGGCTGCTCACTGGGTAGATTGTGGTGGCCGGGGTGGGCGGGGGGGGGGGGGTGCGTGGTGAGAAAGTGTTTCTCAGTTCCAATCCCAATTTTTTTTATTGGGGGGGGGGGGGGGGGAGGGAGGGGAGAGAAGAGGAAGGAAGGACTAAGAAAGTGTAAGCCTCTGCAGCACATATCCAGTGGAGAATGTACTTGAGTACAGGGTCAGAGCTGAAATCACTACACCAACTCACGTATGTTCCACATAGTGGAACGTATTGCTTTAGAAGTGCTGAGTAGTTATGATCCTTTGGATATTTTTATCAAGGTATGCAGGCGTATTGGGAAACAAACAGATAGATAGACTGGCTGGTTCTGCACCACTTCGTAGTAATCTGATGCATGGCAAGCTAGATGTTTTCAAGCCCCTTGGTAGGGACTGGCAGTTACCAGGGGATCTGGCCAACACTTTAAACTCAAAGGAAGGACAAGACACATAAACAGACTGCAGCTTGTACCATCGTAGTTCGATGGATGCTGAAGATGAGAACGGAGCACACATGAGCATGGCTCGAGTGCTGTGATATCGATTTTTTTAAACTCAACCCAGCTCAGATTCATAGGATCAAAACCTCTATGTATTTATTACCCGAGCTTCTATGCTTATGTGCTATAAATCTGGATGTTTGAAATGACTGGTCTTCAAATTTTGTGATTTTTAGCTCCTTATCGAACGTGATAGGTGGTAGATCATTAGCGAAGTCATTTAAAGCAATTTCTTTCGTTGTCCGGGATTAATTTATCAGTATTGTATACACAAGTAAATTATAGGTTAGGGTATTTTGCACATACACACGCTGTCTTTGTATGTAATCCAGAATTGGTTCTGTGCCGACTTGTTCTCTTATGATCTCATTCCTGATCTTATCTCTTATGGTCACTCCTACAGCCCTTCTCAGACATCTCATTTCCGTGGTTACTATTTTTTTTAAATGGTTTGTTGTGAGTGACCATGTCTGGCACTGGTAGCACAGAGTTGAAATAAATATGCTTTGAATAAGATGTCTCTTTGTGCTGATTGGGATTGTCTTATGCTGTAAGAGGGGGGCTAGCTGTCCCAATACTTGGTTTGCTTTACTGCATCCAATGTCAATTTTTTTATCCAATTTCCCATTTTCGGTAAATGTAGTTCCCAGATATTTATACTCAGAGGCCTGTTTAATGCCTTTGTATTCTATTGCTATGTTTAGATCTGTCTCTTCTTTTTTCCTATTGACATTACTTCTGTATTTTCAGTGTTGATTCTCATATTATTTCTTTTACATTCTTCATTCATGGATGTTAGATGTTGCAATTTCACGGCTGTATCTGCTATCAAGGCCTGGTCATCTGCAAAGAGTAATTCGTTGATCTTACTAAGATCTTCATTTATGGGCTTGGCATTCTTGCATATACTGTCGATGTAGGTGATAAACAGCAGTGGTGATAAGACACACCCCTGTCTTACTCCAGATGTCACTGTGAAAGGATGAGATGTTCCCTGATTTATTCTAACTACACTTCTACAATCCCTGTATAAACTTTTGCCCACTTCGATGAGGTGTTCGCTTACTCCATATCTTGCCATTATTTTCCATAATAATTGTCTGTCGACTCTGTCAAATGCCTTCTCCTGGTCTACGAATGCCACAAATAAGTTCTTATTGTATGCAAGTTTCTTTTCTATTAACTGTTTAAGTGTGAAGATTGCATCTGTGCAACTTCTATTTCTCCTAAATCCCATCTGTTCTTCTGCCAGCTGTGGTTCTATCACTGGTCTCAGTCTTGTTTCTATTATCTTGGCATACATTTTGCCAACATGGCTTAAAAGAGAGATGCCTCGATATTGACCGCATTTTCGTTTGCTTCCTTTGTTCTTCCACAATGGTATAACTATTGCATGTTGCCAATCAATAGGGGCCGTTTGTTGTACCCATGCTGCATTGAATATTCTGTGAAGCCATCTGATGCTGCTTTCACCTGCTGCTTGAATTATTTCTGTTGGTAATCTATCAGCTCCTGGTGCTTTATATTTGGGAGACTTTTTTTTTGGAGACATAACAGAATAAAAAAGCTTATAAAACATTCATATAAAATTATTTTCATAGCGAACCTGCCATTGTAAACTCAGAATACTTCCTGTTCTTTGTATTCACTAAATGTAAACTCCAGAGGAAAGTACTGGTTGTTCGTCCACTTCTTGAGTGTAGTATGCATATCTGATTTACAGATCTGACTTATTTGCATACTGATTATTGGTTCGTCGACTGTCAGGCACAAGCCTTCCGTCTTCGAAAAGGGAGAGGCGGTGGTTTGGGGTAAGGGGCCCCTAATTAGTTATCATTTACTACCTGGTTGTTGTTAGGGTGGGGGGGGGGGGGGCATTTTTTTCTTTTTCTTTTTTACAGTAACAGTGGTGCCGGGAAAACACACACAGAGGTGGATCTTACACTTATACAACATGGATCGAGTCCTAGTCCTTTTGAGAAAAAAATGAAAAGGTCGACCACTTTCAGACTGCTGCTAGCTAGCCGAGGCTGCTAACAGTCTGCGCCTATATTTGTGGTCTGAGTTTTTTGGGTCACTTTCGTGACTAAATTCTAGTGTTTGCGCCATTTCTGGGCTTGATGCGTCCATTCGAACCAGACCGCTCGTCCTCCACCCTGTTGTTACTTGTGCATGTCTTCCTTCGTCTTACTTGGTGTTTCCAGTTTGTGTTGTTTCCCTTTGAATTAACCAGGCGTACTTCGTAGTTCACATGGATCTCACTGGCTCTGATTTATAAAGGGCGCTGACACATACAAAAATAAGCCCAAGTGGGAGGCGTCCATTACAACATTTTCTTTAGGGATTGGCTTAAAAAGGCTAAGCGTAATAATAATTTTAAAAATAATACCTATAGAAATACGAATAATAATTTACTTGAAATAATATTAGGAGTATACACACACACATACACACACACACACACACACACACACACATACACACATACATATACACAGACACGCACTATTTTTTGCGCATGGTTAAGGGGCCGCTTTGACTGCATGCTAATTTTTTCAGGGTGAGAGGGGACTGGCGTGGACTTATCCCACACGTTCAGACCCTAGCTACAAGAGGTTATTGTGAATTAAAACAAACCATGGAGTACCTGTTGTGAAAATCGCTGTGGCGTTGGCGGCTTGACGCCCGCCTGCGGACAGGAAGTTTGTAGGTTCGAAGTCCGACGTTTTTTTTTTTAAATCGAAAAATGACCTTGTCACCCAGGTCAACCCAGCCTCGAGTGGGTACCACGTGCAGTCCTGGGAAGTAAAAGCGGCCAGCGTGATGCTAACCACATCACCCACCAAGTGCCGACTGGTCTATACAAATCTAGCCCTGCACTTCCCTTGTGCCTAAACGCGTGGGAAAAATACCTTTACTTCAATTTTATGTAGTACGCGCGACACAAGACGGAACAGACAGTTGCAGTCAGCGGAAAAAAGTATACACTAAAAGATAAACTCCAGAACATTCGTGACCCCTACGAGCAGGATTAGGACCCATTTGACACGCTGGTCGCTGGAAAAGTAAAACCAGAACAAAAAATAAATCAGAGACACGACATACGTAGCGTACCAAAATTTATTAAATACCTGAGGCTACATGTTTTTTATGCTGTAATGTCATTCATTGTAATTTGCGATTCTGCTTGAGAGCAACAATGAAAGCATCTGGTTACATGTCTGTCTGAACTTTGAACTCATGACGTAATACACAAGTAAGTTAACTGACGATTTCAAGACTCCAAAGAGCACAGAAAAAGACCAGTAAACAATAAAGAAGTTCCTGTATTTGCCCAGAGGGCCAAAACTTGGATATGGAACTGTTACAGCAAAACTGACAACTGTTGGTAACTGACCAACTACGTAAGCTGCAGCTATGAAAATTACCATTTTGATGGCTTTGTCTTGTCGTTTTGTTGCCTTCTTGGCTGCATTCTGGGCTTCGGCCTGCTGTGTTCTCCAGGCGGTCTTAAGTCTCAGACAGACAACAAGAGTCACAGTGCAAACAGAAACAGCACAAAATGCAAGTAACTGGATGACTGAATGAAGCAGATAGGAAATGTTGGATATTATTTCTGTATTTTGGACAAATATTACTCCCAGCAAAGTCCTATTTGTCCGAGGTTCAGGTCTCCACCCAAGTGTAAATGTGGAATATACAGATATCATGGTTAGCAACATTACTAAATAAAAAGAAATGATGACGATGACTGTGACAGTTGATGTCAAGATACTTTTAACCTTCAATGGCCAGACGACACACAGACATCGTTCAAACGAAGTGAATGCAGTCACCAATCCTGTAATGCTACTGAAGCAAGCGTTAGGCAAAGCAGCAAATGCCATCTGAATTTGCGTAAATACAAGCGGTAGTCCAGAGTTCAGGAACAGCGGATTCCAGAAGATACTTAAACACAGCGTCGACATTAAAGTTAGTAAATCAGAACAAGCAAGTGCGGTATAGCTGATATTTGTGGTCTCTGAAAATCCTTGCTCACTGAAGACTAGAATATTTATTACGTTAGAGGCTATTCCAAATATGGAAATGGTTCCCACAAAGGCAACAATATTTACTGTAACTATTGTCATTGTGATTTTAAAACTCAGGTCGTCAAATATGAAAAAATGCACACTGGTTAAGTTTGTTGGCATGATGTGGTTAATTACCTGCAGTTGATGCTTGATAAAAACGAATGCCGAAAAAAATTTTGTTAGCTTCATTTTCTTGTTTTTTTTTTTTTTTTACTTCTCACAGTTTACAGAAACACAAAGACGCTAAATACAATGGTACGTACATGTCAAGCAATAAATCGCCATTTCGAAAACCATACTACAAGATTCGGTTCGCACAGCAACTAACTGAATGAGCTGGTGTGACACGGTAAGTAGCGCATTTGGTACAATAATTTTCGGAGCGGGGCTAATCTAGATGGCTGGGACTCACACGCAGCAGCTACCGCATCTCCTGCAGCTTCCTCTTTTTTATTTGCTCGTGAGTCCCAGCCATTTAGTTCAGCTCCCTCCCTGACGCGGGGTATACTCTTGGCGGTGACGGTATAGTCTCAGCTTAAAGTATGTTCTCTACTGGAACTGCGCTTCGTTCAGTCAACGCCGACCCATTTTCGAGAAGCTCCTCTACAGCAATGACATCGTTGTCCTACAGGAAACACAACTCGGTGACGAGATCATTAAAATTGCGGGCTTCCAATCCTTCTACAATAGACGGCACCTCGGACAGCTCATTCTTATTCGTGACCACATACTGGTGTCTGAGGTGGACATGTCTGAGTGGGATAATGACGACCTACAAGTACACGCAGTCATAGTGTTGGGCCCGGACCAGTTTGTGATTGTCAACGTGTGCGCCTGCAACGGAAAGGTGGATACAATGAAATGGCAAAGTTTGCTCCAGACGGAAGAAAATAAAGTCCTTTACTGCGGAGATTTCAAAGCCAGAGGAAACCAGTAGGGCAATGTAATCACTAATAAACAGGGAGAAGACCTGGAGGATGCCCTAGTGTCTGCCGATCTAGTATGCTTGAACGACGGAAGGGTTACAAGAATGGCAACCCGACAAGAGGATTCTGACAGCGTAATTAACCTGGCCCTAGTGTCTCCCTCCATTGCATCAAGATGCAGATGGAGCACAATGGTGTACCATGACAGTGATCACTTTCCTTGCGTCGTCCTGGTGGAGAAGAGCAACAACAGAGGTCATGTAATCAATGTGCCTGCTTTTATATATGACCGTACAGGGCAAGATGCCATTAGCAAAATCAGACGACGTAAAACAAGAGCAGATCGCAGACGGCGGGAGAGATGGGCCCAGCCACCATGGTGGAATGAAGTAGTCAACATGGCGTGTTGGCACATCTGACAGCCGCCTTTACTCTTCGTTTGTGGCTTTCGAGATTTTGCTGGTCTGATATGTTTAACCCCAGTTTTGAAGATGAAACAATAAAGGGGATTTTATAGGATTTTCACTGGCAAAGGCGCAAAGCATGGATAGATCAGTCGGCAGTGAAGGTAAGACCTCGAGTACCTAGACTTATCGGTTGAATAGTAATAGAACTGCCAGAAAATATCATTAGAAATACTAATCTCAAACAATACAATCTTTGGACTGCTTCATGTTGACAAATCTTGCTGGTTATTCTTTAAAGATATTGACTAAACCAAACCATTTTAAACTAATCAACAACAAAAAAAAGTCATAATTACTCTTTTTTGAAAAAATTACTTTTTTTTTTTTCCTCTGGTAGAGGACTTTTGATGTTCTTTCCTGTTGCCTGTACTGTCGCTGGTTGTATATGTTTGTTAAATCTCCAGAAGCATTAGTCCCTAGAATGTATCGCCATATAACGTTATTGTTTATTTGTTTCGTAGATTTTCGGGGATACCATTAGTCATGTGCGTATTGGTTCGTACTTCGACTTCCCAAATTTCTTAGTGCTAAGAAACATCTTCTTACCTTGTGTATTTATATTTAAATATCTTTGTCAGTTACCCCCTACACGCACACACACACACACACACACACACACATATATATATATATATATATATATATATATATATATATATATATATATATATATATATAAAGGGAGCCGTCGTTGTCTAGGGGTTAAAATGCTTGCCTGCGGTTCGAAAGGTCGGGGTTCTGGTTCTGACAAAGGCTGGACGTTTTTCAAATATGAGTAGGTACCAGTTACAGTTCTGGGAAGTTGAGGCGGCCTTTTATTGTTTACCACATCACCCAGCAAGTGCCGTAGTGTCTACAAAATTTAGGTCTAGCACTCTATACCCAATACACATGAATACGCATGAAAAAAGGTCCTTTACTCCTATGTTTACATATGTATATGTATATATATATATATATATATATATATATATATATGCTAGTATATTATGTTCCAGTGGGTGTATACCTGGGCAGTTTAGAGTGGGCCCTCATTAAGAGAAATCAGATTACTGTTTGCCATATTTTTACAAAACATGTTTTTGTCTGTGTGTGGGTCTTTTTAATAAATTTGTTGTGGCTTCGCATTAAATATGTTTAACGCATCTGATTCCGTGACTGACACAGAAGAGAAAAATCACAAACAAAATCCGGGTGATCAAGCTGTTTTGTAGGGGATTCATTGAATTCTGTTCTTGTTGGTAGTCTATTGTGAGTAAAAATATGACAGAGGGCAAAAGACATCCATGTCACTCACTTAACAACAATAACAACAACAAAAACAAACATTCCAAATGTATCATTTAGCTATCCTTTATGAATAACTCCTTATATGTTGCTTTTCATCTAAGCCCTAGTAGCCCCTTAGGCACATATAGACTCCTGTTAAACACACACACACACACTCACACACACTAACACACTCACAAACAAAGCTACTTTTCTTTTATACATGAAATTGAATTGTGTGTTGTAAGTCGATATTCATATATGTATATATACATATATTCATCTACGGATGTTTGAACTCTTTGCCACTGTGTTGGTAAGTCAGTGCACTAACGGCGATATCACGTACATCACTGCCACTACCAAGTGTCATCTCCTCATGGAGATAGCATCGACCCCACTCTGCGCATCGCCTTTCGCCTTGGCAACATATTTCTAGGCTCCCTCTATTCCATTCATAATTAATATCAGCCCACATGTATCTGTCTTTCTTTTGCACCTTTCCAGACTACTGTTTTCCTCCAGAACCTCCTTTTACAAGGAAATGTATTCATTGCAATCATATTTTTACCAGTAGTATCTCAAACCATATCACTCACTAATTTACAGATAGACTTATGGATAAACATCCGAGAATCGATGCTTTGTAAGCTCCTAATTTTCGTCAGAGATCAAAAGGATATGGCCATTATGTTCACAAGTGAACTCGCATAATACTCAGAATGAAATTTTCAGCTTCATTTGAGACGGAGAGAAACGTTGTTTAAATCTACATTGACTGAGAGATAACAATTTATGCAACTGAGATTTCGAAAATCAAAGAAATTTGGATTTTAACACTTTTAAGTTTAGCTTTAATGTGTTATGAGTTTAATGTGAAGAAATTCAAATAGGTTTGGCATATAATTTACTTTGGCTGGAAAATAACATAGATTTCTTCAATCATTTATGGATTTGTCTTACCATTGCTACCATAAAATCTGATTCTACGTGTATGATAAATTTAGTCTGTTTAAAATTATTTTTAGATAATTGTAGCCTTGGCAAACTCTTTTGTATAACATATAATTTATTGCTACCAAGTACAAGGGAAAACGTATGTATTTAGGATAAACATGGAAAGTTACACATAATTATAGTAGAGGGAAACTTTGGGGTGGTATACGTCTAGTCAACGTGCCTGCCAGATCGAAAGTCTTGGTTTGGAAGCCGCACTAATTTCGGAATGTGTATAAGTGTCGCTGGCTTCTTTGTAGATCGATCCTAACGTCATGATCATAATCATCATCATTCTCGAATTCTGTAATACATCACAAACATCTCACATTCTTTGCCCACAATTCAGGTCTTCTGTTCCCAAGCCTCTCCATACCCTAGATGTAATCCAGTCGAGCCTCTCAACAACGTTTGTCTCTAAGTTTCTCTTTGACATCCCAGTCTCCTCAGTCCATTTAATTTCAATTTTAGTGCTTGTTTTGGCGATTACCTGTCCAATTCTTCTTGTGATGTGCTAAATATAGTGCCTTCTTCTTTGTAGTATAATTGATAACACAAACGGTTGTCCGGATATTTCTCTTATCAACATGAAATGAATAGCAAGAAATTTATGTTAAATAAAAGACAGCAATGTCATTTGAACTGTCTCATCCGTCGAATGTCCACTGGTGTAAAAAAAATGTATCTACTTTCATAAGCGCGAAACGCCAGTGGCGTGAAAAGAAAAGACCTTTTCTTTCTGAGCTTTCATGGTTACTTTACCGGAAGATTACTACAAGTAAAAACTGATGAAGTAAATGTAGCGAGGATTGCGAGACTACAACAGTCACATACTGATGATTACAGAAGACCAGAGCTAATACCATAAACGCTTCGTGTTGTTTATTGTTTTAATGGTTCTCACTTCGTGTAGGTTAGTTTCATTTTTGTAGTATGCTGATGAAGGTTCTGTAGCCGCTACGTCAAATTTTCGTTTGTGTTCGTCATATTATGAAGCTCCCTGATCTACTTTTCTTTTGGTTATATATTTTTGATTATATCATTTACACTTGCATGCTCCCGATGTGGAGTTCTTCTTACTGTACGGGTCTAGTCCACAAGACAGCCAGGATAGACTGGTGACGATCGGGATAGACCGTTTGACGCCCTGGAAAGACTGGTACCAAACTTGCCCTCGATCAACAGAGGGTCAGTTGGAGTCTGGGCTAATCATTCCTAATCCAGTATGAATCATCTTTTCTGCACGCGGAAACCACTTGATCGAGCGCCTGCTTAGCCCTGCTATAGGACACGTCGGGTCACTGGTGGCCCGCTATTTCAAATGATTTGGTCATCTGCTCAGAATCAAACAAAATCAGTTAGCAGCTAAAGTGTACTACATGCGAACAGCATGCTACCCGTCCAAAGTGATGAGACAATTCAAAAGGTAGATAAAGAAAAGAAAGAAGTGGAAGAAGGGAGT